TGGCTTGGACAATCTCTTCAGTGGTAGGTGGTGCTTCGTTTGGGTTGAATAGATTTCATTCAGATCATTTCTATTTGCTACGGTGTTATCTGCTTCTTCGATATAATAGCCATTAAATTTTGCGTCGACGACGTGGACATTATAATAAGAACCAAAGCGAGAACTGCGGAAATCCTAACCGAGCTAATAGCAGCAGCAGAACGATTGGGGTTACATATAAATCAAAATAAAACCAAATTCATGGCGACTAGCACAAACACAAGAGCTAGAAATGTTAACGCAAATGGTAACGCATCAATGACCAAAATTTCGAAGCAGTCAAAGAGTTCATATATCTAGGGACATCGGTTAACCCCAATAATAACACGTCTGAGGAAATAAAAAGGCGAATAATAATTGCAAACAGGTGTTATCATGGTCTATCAAAGTATTTAGCTAACAAACGTCTGTCTCAACAAACTCGTATAAGGCTGTATAGAACACTGATAGTCCCCGTTCTCACATATGGATCAGAGGCATGAACGCTTACTAAAACAAATGAATCCGCTCTATCGATTTTTGAAAGAAAGGTGGATGGACAAGTAACAGTATGTGGATGGAGTAACAAGATGCTGAAAAGATCGGAGTCGGCAACTGGAAAATGCAAGCAAGGGACAGAACAGAATGGCGTAGAAAGCTTCAGAAAGTCGAGGCCCTCTAAGGGCTGTAGCACCAAGATGATGATGATGAAATTTTTCGTCAAAATTCAACTCATCGGTTCAAGATATCGATAAGGAAATATCACTTAGGATATTTACTTCTCCATCCTTACCTCTCCCTATTCTTGGCTTAAACTCTTTACTCATTTTGTTTACTTTTCTGTAGAACTTTTGAGTTTCGTTTTGATTTCTTAGCCATTCAATGTTTTCTAACTGCCTTTATTTAAATTGATTTTTTGTGATAGTAAACTAAATGCACGACCAAATACTTACCATGTCGGGATAGTATTATGAGGGTTTTTTCCTAGGTTTTCCTTCATAATTTACTATAGAATCACTAACAGGAGAATTTTACTGTCATCGTGGCATGTGTTTGTCTTTTTAAAGACGAATTATATGCAATGATTTTTTCTGACGGATATTCTCAAGTTAAAGTTAATGCCATGTAATCGAGTGAATTATCTTAGAAGTAAAGTCGTCCCAGAGACGCAACTCAACAATATTGACAATATCATTTTAAAGTTGTCTACTTTAAAATTTATAGTATATGTCTGAATTGTCAATATATATGAGTCAGATAAAATTCAATTATTAGAAGAATTTTTCACCACATAACAAAAAAAACAAAATTGGTTTAATTTACTAATGTTTGTATTTTGAGAACGATTTTACGAAACTAACTTTAATCTTTAATTGTGGCTTATTCCCATTTAACTAGTAATTACTTTAAAATGCCACAAGAAAATAGCTTTAGAACAATACATATAAATCAATACTATATGCTAATAAAGCTTTAGAAAATATGCTGCAAATTCTTATCGGTACTCAAAGTATGTATGGAGGTTCAAATTAAGGGTTGAGCCTTAGATTTCTCACCCCCGTTCTAGCCGAAATCTACAGCGTTGCAAAAAATTAATTTATATACCGATTTGAAACTTTGTATATAAATGTTGTACTGTGTCAAATTGCCAAAAAAGGGAATGAACTTTTCCGAAAATTAAAAATTTTTCCTGCTCCTGGTACTAATATTTTTAAACGGCATTAGGTCGCAGGCGATTATTTTTGTAAAAAAAAAAATGTTTAAAATCCTTTATAAAAGGTATATAAAAAATGCCCCAAACGAGCTATCACAAACACATTGCAAAACGTTTTCGGATTGATAAATCCATCATCAGTGCAAACGGTTGTACATGCTAGTAGCCACCAAAATATATGGGTCAAAACCCTTTAAATGTTTTAAATTTGTAGTTGTTTTACATTAATAATAGTTATAATTTGTGATGTTTAAGTTACCGTTGGATAGGTAACATAGCGGCGTATGACTCTACATAAGTAAAATGGTCCTGAGACGAAGTGTCTACGAGGACCTGTTGATAACAACTTTTGTTTGTTTTTGATTATTTTTGTATTACCCACCACACTCAAGTTATAAATGCCCTAACAAGTATGTTTGGCCAGAAAATCCCCCCCCCCCTTAAGTGGTAAGCTGGTAAACTTATCTTATCTGTGATTCACCTGTACTGTTAGGAATTGACGGCATAATTTCTAAGTTTTGTTCTGAAGCTATTTTCTTGTGGCATTGTAAATTAATTACTATTAAACTGGGAATAAGCCACAATTAACGATAAAAATACGTTTATTGACGTTTCAATTTCCACATCGGAAATCGAAAAAAGAACCGAAGTGGAAATTGAAACGTCAATAAACGTATTTTTATCTTTAATTGTGGCTTATTCCCAGTTTAATAGTAATTAATTTCTAAGTTTGTTTTTACATATTATAGTATGTTTTATATGTGATTTATGCTAGATCAAATGACCCATTAAAAATCTCCCATTTTCCCAGTCTCCCAGTCTACTCGCCTGGCTAAAGCTTTTTTTTTCGGTTCGTTGATTGTTATTGAACTGTTACATTTTTCATATATTCTCTAATGCTGTTTTAATTATGTTCCTTTTTATTTTCTGTTCATTATTTTATAAAATAAATATGGTTATAATTCAGTTATCGAATTGATAACAACTTCCGACAGCCGATAAAATGTTCTCATTTTCCCAAAGGAAACGTTTATAGCGATCTAATGTTTGAATCCACTAAAAGGTGATGATAGAACATTCCTACAACGGTTGTATGTTTAAAAATAATATGGGTTATGTTATATTTAAACACTTCGATAAGTTTTCTATAAATATCATAGTGTCAAAGCTTTAAAACATTTACCAAGGTGTTTGCTTCGGTGAAAAACTGACTCATCCTCCATCCCCATTAAAATTTTAGAATAAACATAGTTTTTAAGAACGAAAACGCTAAAATTGTCAAAATAATACAATATGATATTTCTTCTTGCATATTTTTGGTTTATATCATGGGGTTATTTTAAATATATTTTATCTAAAACTAAGATATTTTTCTGACATATTTGGTTTGTGTCATCGATTAAATTTAGGAAATATAATTAGGATTTGGAGTTAGTATTATTAACACTAATGAGAAAAAAATCAAACATTTACTAATAAAATATGTAAGTATTCAGAATTTGTGTTATACTAAATTTTATTAAAAAAATTCCGGCATATAAGGATGAAGTTTTTCTTCCTTCCTAGCTGGTATTTCCTTTTTTTCGAAATTCATTATACCCTTCAGGGCTTTTGGAAGTACAGTTTTTTATTTAGATAACAAAGTACACATATTTGAAATATGAAAAAATATATGATACAAATCAAGATTGTAATAAACAATAGAAAATATTTATGCGGATACTAGTTCCTTTTTTGAGTTCTGCCATTAAGATAAAAGGTAATATCAAATAGAAAAAATGTAACACATTATGACAGCATAGAACTGAAACAATGTAAACAGCCCTATACTTTTTTTAGGATTTCCTGGCTGAAAAGTCTAAGTACGTGGTTCATCACAACAACCACAAATCTTTTCAGAACAGCAGTTTTGCAAAATACAGATTACCATGATGGTCGCCAACATCCGAAACGAATAGGCACTGCAAGAAGAAGAAGATATCAAGAAGCATAAGAATCAGCAGAGCATCTGTTATACACTTGTGAGCCCTTGTCAGATGTGAGACAAAATAAAATCAGTTATATTGCCGGATGTACTGATAAGTATAATTACAGAAACATTCAATAAACTTTCTTTTGCCAACTGATTAGACGTCAATGTTTAATTAGATCAATAAGAAAATATTTAAAAAAAGCACTTGGCTAGTTAAAACTAATAGAAGATCCATCATAAAAATTTTATCAAACTTTCTACATAACTACTCTTAACTTTCAAGGTCCCAATTCATTCTAAAATATAGCTTATTAAACTGAAATCATACAACCTGCTATTACGATAGAATGATCATCATATCAGGTAATATCCATTAGAATAAAATAACAGATATAATCTGAAAATAATCCAGGTATACGCCCCCACCAGCGATTACGAAGATGAAATTGTTCAAGCCTTCTATGAGGAAATCGAGAGAGCAAAAAAGGCTCATTACAATCTGATCAGGGGAGATTTTAACGGGAACCTCGGAAAAAAAAGGACGAACAAGAAGTGGCAATCCGAGATTTTGGAATCGAAGTAAGAAACGAAAGAGGCGAAATGCTTACCAACTTTCTACTGCAACACAAAATGTATGCAATGAACACCTTTTTTAAGAAGAAACAGAATATAAAATGGATGTGAGCTAGTCCAGATGAAAAAACTAAGAGCGAATATGATTATATAATAACAGACAAAAGGCAAATTATTCAAGATGTCACTGTACTTAATAAAATATCAGTAGGAAGCGACCACAGACCAGTAAGAGCTAGAGTAACGATAAACCTGCAAAAAGAAAGAAACAGTTGCAAAAACATAGTTTGAAATTCACCAAATCAGCCAAAAGCATACATGAAAAATATAGCCGAAACTTTACAGAGTGATAATCCCAAACCTCTAAGTATCGACGATCACAATAAATTAATAACAGACTCGGTTAGAAATAACTCAAATTTTGCAAGAAAAATGACACCAAAAGTGAAAAGATTAGCAAAGATACAAAAGCTCTCATGGAAATACGATGAAGCCTAAGCGAGAACGAAAAGGGAGACAAAGAAGGATATAAAAAACTAAATAAAAGAATTTCAGCGGAGATTAGAAAAGATAAAAGAAGATATAGTACTAATGTAATTACTCAAACAGTAGAAGAGAACAAAGGTTAAAAGATAATGAAAAGAAAACTCACATAAACTAAAAAAGAAATATACTAGCTGAGAGATAAAGGCGGAAAGGCAACAACAGATAAACAAAACATATGGAAATAACCAGAGAGTTTTATAAATACCTCTATACCAGCCAAAGACTACAAGACAATTTTCCGACACGAGTAAATACTCTCATAAATCAGAGATCGGAAATACTTTTACCCATTACTGTGTCAGAAGTAAGAGAAGCTTTAAAAGAAATGAAGAACCATCGATCGCTTGGTGATGATGAACTCGTTATTGAGGCAATAAAAGCTGGAGGAGAAATTACATTAAAATCAGTAAGCGAACTGTTTAATAAATGCTTACATGCGGGTACGAGCCCAAAGAACAGGCAGTCTTCAGAGCAGGATATGGCACAAATGATCATTTGCATACCATAAAGATCTTAATAGAAAAGTGCATCGAGTACAACATACCACTGGTTCTTGCATTTGTTGATTACGAGAAGGCTTTTGATTCTGTAGAGTTTGAAACAGTAGTGGAAGCCCTAAATAAAGGCCGAATAGATTACAGGTACACGACACTAATCAAAAACATCTACGAGAACGCTAAATCAAGTATACGACTACACGAAGACACAGAAAAATGCAGCTTAAGTCTAGGAGACAAGGAGACAATATTTCACCAAAATTGTTCACGGCAGCTCTAAAGTCTATATTTAAGAACACTCAATGACAAGATATGCGCATCAATATAGATGGAGATAGATTAAATCATCTAAGGTTTGCAGATGATGTTGTACGCAGATAACTTACATGATACAGTTTCTATAATACATTCGGCTAAAAGTCTGTCTAAAAGAGCAGGATTAAAGATAAACTTTGAGAAAACTAAACGTATGGCAAATCTCGTATATAATATAATTCGGTTTTATAACGTCTTACGACGTTGTCCGACTTTCAAACGCCACTGTATTAGGTCTTGAGTTAGGTCTTCGTCCAGATTTCGAGCGCTAATCGCTTTCCTAACTCCCAGGTTCCAGCTCTGTGGTGGTCTTCCTTGTTTCCTCTTCTCTGGGGGTTGCCACATCATCGTTTTTGTTAGGCCCCCATTCGGCTCACATGCCCATACCATATGAGCTGTTTTCTCTAAATATCCTCCACTATAGTGTCCTCTATACCCATTTGTTGTTTTATCACTTAATTTCGTATTCTGCCGGCTCTTGATATTCTCATCGATCTTCTGATGGCATCCATTTCCGTGGCTTCGACTTTTTCTTATATTTCTCGGTTATTCTCCATATCTCAGCTCCATAAAGTAGGCTAGTTTTAACCATTGTCTCATAGATGTTCCATTTTATTTTCTTTAATATTTCTTTACTCCACAGAACTCCGTTCAAACATGCTCTAGCTCTTCGTGTTTGTACAATTCGATGTTCTATTTCTCGTTCGTCTTTTCCACTACGGTCGAAGATGACGCCCAGGTATTTATATTCGTCACATGGATTTACTTTTTGATTGTCATCGATATCGAGTTCTTCTGCTTTAGCTCCAATTGAGAGGTATTTTGTCTGTTCTAAATTGATATTTAATCCCCATTTCTGGTATTCTTCAATTAGTTTTCTAAGCATGTAATCCATGTCGTCTTTGTCATTTGAGATCACCACCTGATCATCTGCAAACTGTAAACTATATATGTAATCCTGATCGTTCAATTGTATACCCATTCCTTTGACTTTCCTTTTCCATTGTTTCAGAGCTGCAGAGATATAAATCTTAAATAAAGTCGGAGAGATACAACATCCTTGCCTGAGACCCTTAGTAACTGCAAATTTTTCAGCTAAGATGTTTCCAAATTCCATTTGGAAGTTTGAACCATAATATAGATCTTTGAGAGCACTAATCAATGTTTAATGTATGTTTTATGTGCCCAGGACTTCCCATAGTTTATTTAGCGGGACTATGTCATATGCCTTCTCAAGATCTACAAAAGTCATATGTAACTCTCTATTTGTCACAATTTTTTTTCTATAATTTGTTTAAGACAGAAGATGTTATCTGTACATGAACGACCTGCTCTAAATCCTCCTTGTTCTTCGTAATGAGTGGAAATATAACTATTGACATACAACAACATACAACAAACAGACAGTTACAAATATCTGGGACACGAGATTAAAATAAGCAGAGACAATCAAACATATGAAATACAGAGGCGAATAAGCCCGACATGGGAAGCATTTGGCAAATTAAGCCATATTCTAAAAAGTTCAATTCCCATGTGTCTCAAGCGAAAAGTTTATAACCAATGTTATAAAATAATGTGTTTTGCCTTATATAAACTTATGGAGCAGAGACTTTAACACTCACGCAAAAATCTGCGAATAAACTCAGAGTTACACAACGAGCCATGGCACGTGCAATGCTGAACGTGAGCCTTCGAGACCACATAACAAACCAACAAATCAGACAAAGATCAGGAATTCAAGACGTCATCGAAAGAACCACGACGCTTAAGTGGAACTGGGCAGGACACTTAGCCAGAACACAAGATGGACGGTGGACAAGACGTATTATGGAATGGAGGCACAGAAACTATAAAAGAAGCCGAGGACGACCACCGACTAGATGGACCGATTATATTAAACTTGTAGCGGGAAACTGGCTACAAGGGGCCCAGTGTAGAGAACACTGGAAAGAACTGAGGGAGACCTATGTCCAACAGTGGACGCTATTGGCTGATTGATAATGATGATCCGTTAGAAAACAACTAGAAAGTCAGATAGGTCCTGGATGTTTTGCAAATACACAGATTACAAAAATATCTTACTAATAGTCATTAAATAAGTTTTAATTTATTGAAGGTGTTTTAGTAAATGTGTTTTAATAATCATGGTACTTATTTAACGTTCTATTTTAAGATTTAGAAAATAATAGAGGAAAGAAAATAATTAAAGCAGAAAACATTTTACGATCCAAGTCATACATATCAACTTTCAGACCGCATTGTTATGAGAGAATTTTTTTATCTACTGACAATACAAAATTCCTTTATTTCCAGAACAAAAGTTATATTTAAATCATTCCCAATGTTGCCGTATACGTCGATATGAATAGTTTAAATATTTTACTCGTTCTTTTTTAAACAACTGTAAACTTAATCGCACTAATGATTTTATAGATCGATTCTGAGATAACAATATCACTAAGGCTAATGACAAACTAATGGCTTTGACAACACCGTAGTCTGCTTTAAGAAAGCGACGTCGTGAGATGCTTAGCTCAAGTTACCTATGGTGGGGGGCGTCCTTTTATAGACACGCGCGTTCACACTAAATAATAGCGATGGAGTTGCTCTGACTTACCGTGTACGAGACAGGGTTGCCGCTAAGTCAAATTTGTCATAAAATCCTAAGATCAATTATTGCCAAAGAGACTAATTTTTTAAATTTATTATTACGGTCATCATCATCATTATCATCAGCTTTCATGTATCGACGGATGTAAGCCTCCTAGTATGTGCACTATTTTCTATTTTTTGTTTTGAATATCCAATCGTGACCAGCTATTCTTTTGACGTTATTACTCCATCTGGTGACGTCCATTTAACGTAGTTATATTTTTCTTACTTCCTTATTAGGTATACGATGGCTAAGTTTAATATATTGAACATTAAACGTTTCATAAGGAACGTAGAATTTTTGCAATACTTGATGTTAATTCATGGAAAGCCTGAAACTATTTCTTTTCTAACTATTCTAAAAATGTTTGGGGCGATTTAAGTGTCTCTTTCAAATTACAAAAATTTAACATTTTTGTGAATAGTAGAACCAAAGATTTTGTTCTAATTGTATGTTGTTTGTTGTTATTGATTTTATGTGATTTTGCAAAATATTTTGTCGAGAATATTAAAAAATATCAACTGTTCGGCTTCCAGAACAACTTTCGTTTTTCTGTTTCAATTTGGTTCTTCTCTCAATGTTTTTCCAACCGCCAGCAGCTAAATCATCTTTTTCTTTTTCTTCTTTTTATGTAGACATGACTCTGTCTCTTTTTCAATGTACCTCCAGTAAGTTGTCGTTCCATTGTTTTCGCGGTCTTTCTACTGATCGTCTTCCTATTGGGGAACCATCTCTTGCCGTCGTTACTACTGTATTTGTTGTCATTCGGCTTATATAATCGTTCCATTCTACTCTTCTATTTCGTACCCAATTCTTGATGTTCCCCACCTTGAATCTATGTCATATATCTGTACATTTATTTCTGTCCCATGGTTTTTTGCCATCAATTTTTCAAAAAAAAAGTGTTTTCATCTTTGCTATTTCTAGCATCCTTTTTGTTATCTCTGTGTCAGGTCATTTATCCTCTCTGCCACGTATGTATTATTGGTTTGATGACTGTTTTGTAAATTCTGCCTTTCATTTCTTTCCCGTTATTTTTGATTTCTCCATATTGTTTCATTCGGGCAGCCTGCGGCTCTGTTGGCTCTATTCACTTGATCTTCCACTTCAGTTTTGAGCTTTCCGTAGCGTGATAATGTGATGCCTAGATATTTAAACTTCATCACTTGTTCTATTATCTGACCTTCCAGCTCCAATTTACATCTTAGTAAATTTATTGTTGTAACCATCCATTTTGTCTTTTTTTGTCTTTCGTCTTTTCTGTCAAAGCGATCTTCAGTTGTTAGATCTCTGGCGGTCATTGCATCGTCGACATCGTCTGTCCAGGATCGTCTTGGTCGTTTTCTTCTAGTTGGCGGAGTCCATTCTTTTATTTTTTTTTTGGCCATCTATTTTCAGGCATTCTCTTACCAGTTAAGTCTTTCGGCTTAGATTTGTGTCCATTATGTCTAGATCTATTTCCATTTCTCTCCGAATATCTTCGTTTCTCAGCCTATCAGGTCTAGTGAGCTGGCAAGATCGTCTCCAGTAGTTCATTTTCATGGCCTTAATTTTTGATTGGTTTCTTTGATTTATTTCCCAGAGTTCGGCGCCGTACAGCCCAATACTTTCTATTATTGTTTTATAAATTTTTCTTTTTCTTTTGTTATTTTTTTATTCCATAATAGACCGTGTAGCTGTCTAATTGCTGATCTTGCTTGGCCAATCCTGGAATGCATTTCTTCACTACTTCCTGCTTTTGATGTTATTTGGACTCCCAAGTATTTAAAATTGTCTGTGGGTTTTATAGTTCCCATTTCGATTTGTAGGCTTTCTGGTTTTTCTCCTACAACTAAGTACTCAGTTTTTTGTATATTAATTGTGATTCCCCATTTGGTGTACTTATCTTTATTTTATCTTTGGTGTACTTATCTATCATCTCCTATTGGGATGCCCATATTATTATTATTATTATTATTATTATTATATAACAAATAAGGGCAGAGGAGCGAGCTCCTATTATGCCCAAAAAGCAAAAATAAACAAAAATAAAATAGATCCTTATAAAACTAATACTAATTATAAAGTTAAGTAGTTAAACAATTAACGAAAATTGAATTGTGACACAATAAATAAATAAATAATGCCTAGAAAAGATATCCTATCCTATAAAAAAAAATAAAGTGCTGTCAAGTTTATTTTTAAAGATGTTAACACTAACTGCCGATATGGTCTCTTGATCCAAATTGTTCCATATATTAAAGATTCTGTTTGGCAAGAAGTTCGCCCTGGACCTTGCAGTAATTTATTCCCTCTTTAATTTGTATCGATGGCCTCTTAATCTATCGTCTTCATTCAAAGTGAATATGTTGTTTAGGTTCCCAAAATTATGTTTTAAAATACGGAAGGACATAATTGGGTCACCTCGAAGACGTCGCTGCTCGAATGTCGTAAGATGAGCCATAAAT